ATGTAGTTGGCAAAGGCTTCGTTGAGCCAAAGAGCATGCCAGTCTGAAGGAGTGACGAGATTGCCGAACCACTAAATCATATAGTGTTAACCAAGACTAACTATGGTAAGAAGGGTTACCTGTCGACTTAGTTGATTGGCTAATGCTCGTGCTACTTTGACTCTTTCCTCTACGCTACCTTTGGTTGAGCTTATTACCAACTCGTCCTCGGGCATAAATATGAGTCCAGGCCCACTTGCTGGCATGCCTTCCATTACAGGAACAGCGAAGAGGTCTGAATCAAATCAGGATTGCCGATGGTACGCAGAGATTGTATAATATTCACTGATGCAATCACAGCTACGTATTTATAATAAGCTTTTTTTGATAATCACTATCTAATAGTTTTACCTAATTTTTGGCTACTGAGCGGCACTCCAAAATAGTCTTGGAGAAGATCCAACACCTTTGTGGCAGTTTCTAAGGCGTATGTAGTAGAATTAGCAGATTCTGTAGCTTCTGGGCGAGCATAGACACGAACCTAAATAGGAGAATAGGAGTATCGAGGAAGTTGTTTCGAATTTTGATAAATAAGCAGAATTTATTTAGAATGGTTATTTTATTTTGAGGTTGTCTGACAAGAAAGACGCTGTTATCATCATTGCTTCGTAAAATTCTCTGGAGTTTGATCAAGAAAGTGCATTTAGTGCTCACAAAAATTGTGCATCTCATCTTTCTAAAAATTACTTGAGACTAGCACTTCCTAATGTTTCCTAGAGTTTGATCTTTAGCTTTTTTACGACTGCTAATCACCAGTAGTTTTTTGGATATAACAAAATACTCGGATTAGAATGATTTTTCTCGTTTACAAAGCAAATTTTCTATTTTTTAGCTACAAGAGTTCAAAACACCGCGCTCAGCAATGGGTATGCTATCATCAAGAGTATTATGCCCCGAAAGATGGTAAACATTCATTGCGCGGCGTCGAACCCTAGACCATTCGCCCCATGAGTGCGCCACATCGCACTGCGCCATCCGCACTAACTTGGTTGTCTTATGCGGTACTAGTGGAGCAAAGTGCAATGCATCTTGTTGAGTTTCGATAAGATTCAAGAGTGGACATCTACAGCTAATTTTTCCTATTTTCACCATGTCCTCTGCAATACTTGATTTTTTCTTTTTGAAATGAACTTACTTTTGTTCCATCTTTAGCATTTGCTTCTCTACTGTCGAAATCTGATACGGTGAAACCACTCAGATACGTGGGAAGAGCCTCAGTAGCAGCAAAGGACGTTTTTTCCCAGAGTGGTTCTGCCCTGTAATAAAAAACCTAGGCCCATAACTTCTTCAAAACATTTTTTCTCACTCTGTCCTCGATTCTGTAATCTCTATGCCATTTGCTCGAGCTACAGTACCCTTCGGATGAAGAATCGTCAAAGAGACTGGTGCTTGATATTGTGGTTCGTCCAGACTTGGGTAAATGCTGCGTGTTGAGCCAGGTTGAAGAGATGTGTAGGTTAATACCCTGAAAAGAGGTGCTTGGCATTTTTTTGTGTACAAATGTCTAAGGTAGTTGTCGTCAATTTACTTTTTAGAGCCATTTCTTGTTCGGTAGATCGATTGGTGAAGGCCATCGGCATTTTCGGTGATGTAGCCACTGAATGGCATCTGAACTTGGATGAGTCATATGAGTGATTTAAAAACTATTTTGCGCTTGACAACGAACATTACGTGAAGTTTTGTCTGGAAGTAGTCTCCTTTTTATGACTAAGTAAAGATTTACCAGAAAAAAGGGTAAAAAATTATTTCGGCCAAT